TGTATACACAATATATACTGTAGTAATAGTAAAAGTAGTAGCTATGAAACCTAGTGGTGAAATCTGACCTTTGACCTCCCGTCCACCTGCAGCACATCTAAGTGCTGCGGTTGAACTCATTATAAACTCTCTGTTGAGCCTCTGATTGCTGTTGTTAAATTCACCGGTGACCCATATAGAGCGAGAGTGCACAGGTCCGTGTCATCGTTCATTTCCGGCTGACCTGTAGGAAAACAGCATGAAGTTGTTTGTGTCACTACTAATGAGGGCTGATTGGTGAGGGGAGGCTTGTGCCTTTTCACCATGTCGACTTCAATGAGACCGCACATTCATCAGCGATTACCACTCTTCTCCATCCCTCACTCTCTTATTTCATTACGGCCTCACTCAGACCAGAGAGAATCGATGTTTCCTCATTAAAACCGCTCTTATTGAAATGAGCAGCAAACGGACGTTTTAATGTGCCATAATATGGCACAGCTGGTGATGAGCATTTTCATAGCGGGAAATCAGCACCTGGAGTGGGAGGGTGGAAAAGGACACACTCATCCACAAAAGCTAAAGAAGCAAACAAAACAGACAGAAAAAGATGATATTTAAATGATGGTGCAAAAGATATGTGAAGAGTTGTACAGAAAAAAAAAATAATAAAAAATGTGATCAGAATTTATGTGCATCCGAAAGTTTCTTTGGAAGACTTTTAATGTACAAAAATTGTACATACATACATACATACATACATATATATATATATATATATATGTGTGTGTGTGTGTGTTTGTGTAAGATTTGCATGTTAAATCTCATGTAAAGTGGTTTTTCATTTGTTTTTTATTATGAGCTGATATTTAATAGTTTAATAGTTATCAGCTACATTTTGCTGTAAGTTTGATTGCATCATATAATAATTGATGTTAATAGTGTTCATCGTCTGTTTGATTATGTCTTTAATTGATTTTTCCGTACATTTCTGCCATATGTACATTAACTGACAGTCACCACTGATAAGCTACCACTAAATATTGTAGAAACTTAATTTGCTGTAAAGTTGCGTTGCAATGATTTGTATCGTGAAAAGTGCTGTACAAATAAACTTGACTTGAACTTGAATTGAATTGAATCAGCAATTTGTTGTACATATTAACATAAATATTATTTTTTTATTTATGTATCACAAAGCATAATACTTTTTTTTCCAGAATTCTTTGATGAATAGACATTTTAAATAGTGCATATTTTACTTTTTTTTTAGAGGGTTGAAAACATTTTTTAATGAAAAAAAATTAAATGTTGCTTATTCATTGTCAAAACTGGAGGGGAAAAATCTAATTCTTGTGTAAAATTATTGTTGTTGCATTGTCTGTTTTTATTATTAGCTGATTTTAATAGTTATCAGCGATTTTATTTTGTTCATGTTAACATAAATACTTTTTTCTTCAAACCACAAAATAATTATAACAATTTATTTTTGTTCAGAAATTTGAAAAATGTTCATCATAGAAGTGTATTCATGTCATTGAATCAAATTGCCTTTTTAATGTCTTTTTGACATTAAACATTGAACATTTACATAAAACACAGGTAAAAAAAATTTTTATGCATTCTAAAAGTAATACTTATGTTATAGACATATCTAAGCAGACAGAATAAATGGATATTAATTTAAGACTAATGAAACTGCTGATTTGCATTGGTATACCATTATAATTTTTGTTAATATTTTCTATTTTTTGTATATTATTATATAATATTTATAAATTATGTAATATTTATTTGATTTATATATGTCTCTAAATTTTTGTTTACTTAGTTTTAGTTATTTTAGTACTTCAACTTTTTTTGAATTTCTATTTTATTTTATTTTAATTAATGTTTATTTTATTTCAAGTAATGAAAATGTTATTTTATGTTTTTAATGTTAGTTAGTGATCATAACCCTGCAGTGATTTCTGTGGATGTGCTGTCTGAGACTCAATGGGATCGTATCCGAAACCCACTTTCCCCGTAACACACACTAGGAAATGAAACAGCTCGTTAAATTATGTTCAGAAATCACCTAAAGAACTTAAACATCACCAGGAGCAACATAAATAGTTTAAACGAGCTACTTGTAGAATGAAATGCAGGCAGACGTAGGAAATTGAGGATCCCACTGCAAAGATAAACACAGACGGCACCGGCAGAGCTTTACGACGCCACAGCTGCCAGCAGCCGCCAAACATTGGGAGCTTTTCATTGGTCGTTAGCTGATCGGCGACGGGATTTTGTTTTGAACAGAAGCAAGGTTACTGGAGCTCACAATGAACAGTGGAGAAAAAGACCTTTTCATCTTTACGTTACACTGATAAAAGCCTCATCAGGCCAAAGTGGAGGAAATTACAGGTTAAGATTTTATAATCGTTCAGTGCTTGAGATGATGAAAAGGAGAAATGTTTTAGAAACCTATTTCAAATGAGTCTGCCAAGTTTCCATTCATAGATAAGTGTTGAAAAACCTTTACCATTTTCAATTTAATGTTGATTATTTGCAGAAAAGTAAATATATTTGTACAATTTTATATATAATAATTAGTATTCTCAAAAATGTTTTTTCAAAATACATATACTGTCATTTAAAAGTATGGGGTTGGTAAGATTAATTTAAAAAAATAAAGTATCTTCTGCTCACCAAGCCTGCATTTAGTTAAAGTAAAAACGGTAATATTGAGAAATATTATTACAATTTAAAATAACTGTTTTCTATTCAAATATATTTTAAAATGTAATTTATTCCTGTGATCAAAGCTGAATTTTGAGCATCATTACTCCAGTCTTCAGTGTCACATGATCCGTCAGAAATCATTCTATTATACTGATTTACTGCTCAAGAGACATTTCTAATTATTATCAATGTTGAAAACTGCTGTGCTGCTTCATATGTTTTCCCAGGATTCTTTGATGAATAGAAGGTTCAAAAGAACAGCATTTATTTGAAATTGAAATCTTTAGTAACATTATAAATATCTTTACTGTTTGACCATTTTAATGTGTCCTTACTGAATAAAATTCAAATGAATTTCTTAAATCTCACTGACCCTAGTATAGTTATATAATATTAAGTTACCAGCATTGTTCTACATTAACATAACACATTTTTTGCTCGAAACCACACAAGAAATATCAACATTCTTTTTTTTGTTCAGAAATTGAAAACATATTTGTCATAGAAGAGGTATATTCATGCCATTGTATTTCATGTATGAAATTGCATTTTTAATGCCTTTTTGAAGAACTTCAATGAGCATCGGTCACACCACTGACACAATCCACTGAATGCTGGCATGTGTAAAAGCTTAACAGGAGGATGGAACAAGAATTCATCAGCAGTCAGATGTTTACAGCAAGCAGCCGCTCTGCGCTATTCCCAGGTTACGTGTGCTATTAGACCTGGTGATTAATAATGGTTTATTTTGTTAACTGTGCAAAACACATGTGGAAACGATCTGAGGAGTTTAAAATACCGTCTTTATTCCAACGAGGTTGACAGATAGAGGTGAACAAAGACGTCTGTTGTAGCTGATCAACAGCTGGGTGTTTTATTAGCGCGGTTGAAGCCTGGTTTAGTTATCTCTCGGAGCAGAACGAGCCTGTATTTTTAATTTATGACACGAAAGGTTAGACGGGGTTAGAAGTGTGCGTTTCTCAACCGATTCTTCTTCTGTTTCCTCTATCTTTTTGGAGCGTGTCTCTTGGGAAAAGCATTGGATGGATGTTGCGAATTTGAGGCGCTTTTCCTCTTTCTCTTCCTCTCTTGCTGGCGTTTTGTGCTCGCATGTGCTCTCATCTTGCATTTATGATTTGCCACACCCTCTGACACACAATCTGGAACTAATTAAAAGTTACAAAAGTTGTTATGAGTTTCAGAAGTTCACAAGTGCGAGAGACTTTTTTAAAGAGGGAAGTGAAATGTAAAGGAAAGGGAAACAGAGAGAGCAGAGAAAAAGATATGGACAGGACAGGATTCATGAAAGGGACAAAGAAAAGAAAGAAAGAAAGAAAATGTGGGGAAAGGGAAGATAACAAAAGGAATAAAAATGATTAAGGAATGGGGAAATGGGAAAAGTAAATAGGAAAGAAGAATAGGGAAAAGGAAATTATATGGAAAAAGTTAAAATATAAGGAAGGAATAAAGAAGTGAAAAAAGTAAAGGGAACTGGGAAGAAAAAAATGGGAAGGGAAAATCTATGAAGAGGGAAAGGAAATGGTGTGGGGAAAGGCTTAAAGTGGAAGGAAGGAAAGAAGAAAATAAAGGGGGAAAAGGAAGAAAGGAAGGAAGGAAGGTAAAAGGAAGAAAGAGGGGAGGGAGGACGGAAGGTAAAAAGG